AAGAAAGAAAGAAAGAAAGAAAGAAAGAAAGAAAAGTAGTTAGAATTGCATTCTGGGTAATTGATTGGTCTCCAGACTCCCTCTTCCGGCTGGAGTGTGACGAGTCGTATTTGCTAATGTTTTTCCAAAACACACAAAGTGAACAAATATGGACTCGAATTTAACGTGAATTAAAGCATAAATACTCACCATTATGGTAGTAAAAGACATGGAGTCGTGAGTACAAGTGTCTATTAAGGTCTTTGTTCAGTGTTTTTTTTTTAAATCGAGATATCTACCGTGTTTTTTTGGCCTTCCTTTCCAGCACCGTTCAAATGCGTCTGTACACCTTGACAAAAAGACAATTCGTCTTGGTTTTTGTTGCTTTTATCGTCGCTTTTTTCTGCAGTGTTATCATTGGAATTGCAGGTTAGTATTTATACTTACCCTTCATTTTTACCCTTTTCGTGGTTAAACTCTATTTATTCAAACAGCGAGATAAATAACGTCACCACAGCTGCAAAGTCGAACGATAAAAACGAAAGTTAAAGACCAATTATTGTTTTTATGGAGAAATAATATGAACTCATATTGTTTCTCATATATATACAATAAATTAATTTTTCCCAAAATACTTCGGCTACAGTTTTCCCGCTTTTTTCTGACTGCTAAATGCTCTATCGAAGCGTTAGAATATCAATCACCAGTTCTTGTCGAAGAGCAATAATTTGGAACTACATTTTTGCTGGTTTATTAAAAAATCAAAATCCAGCATTATTCAATCTATGATTTTACTCATTGAAATTAATTTATTGCGGGTTTTTTTTGTCGTTTTTTAACTCGTGTGTATACTTATTTTTCGAAAAATACGCTTCGATATTCCAAAGTATATATTGAATTGCATTCGATTATATTCGTACATTTATGAACCTTTTTGGCGGTAACATTTACATATGAAGACATCGTAATCGTTGTTGATCAGGTTGATTTAGTGAGAGTCCTGTTGTAATGCTGTTTTAACTACCCATAACAATTATATAAACGGCTCTAGATCTATGTTTTTTTTCTGTAGACCGTTTTTATAATCATCTTGAATACTAAACATTACTAGCCTAACGGGAAAAAACTATAATCAATACCTTAGATACCTTGCATTTAAGGTGTCTCACAATCTCAAAATTTCAGGAAATTTATTTTTTTTAAGGAATCTGTTTAAAGATTGTATTGAATATCAAAGCACCATTAAATCTGAGAATGTCTTTTTGCTGCTGATAGTATGCATGTTTTCCTGCTAGCAGAACTTTGAACTTTTTATTTATTAACACACATTAATAGAAATAAAAGAATTATTACAAGGATATAATTATG